TTTCGATTTATACCAATAATTACGCATATATATATTATTACGATTCCGTACGACTGTGTAAATCTAAAATCACGCCTGAATTTGTTTTCTGTGTTTTACAAGTGTGTAACATGGCAAATTTACGCAAATCAGTTCTTGTCTTGCGACGTTAGTTTAAAAATTAGAGTGAAAACTTAATGCGGTATATAGGTATTTTACGATATTTAAATTTATTAGTGAGTTTTGCGTACATCAAATAGCGCAATTTAAAAATGCTCATAACTCACAATTATCGTAAAAACATACATACCGAGACAGATAATGTTTTTAGGAACCATTAAGTTTCATAACAGGTCAATTCACTCTAATTTTAAAGTAACGATGCTAAACATGAACGGCTAAGCATTAAATTGCCATGTTCCGGACTTGTAAGATGAAGACAACAAATACAGGTATAGCGCCTTCTTAAGGAATACAAGTGAAAAACTCAGGACACAGGGAATTTAGGTTCATCGTTACAAGATCCGTCGGTGAAAAAAAAAGATATTAAGCGAGGATGCCACAACGGCGGCGGAGGTCTTACAAACGTACAACATGGCAATTTATACTTTCACAATAACACATTTTACTCTAAAATTTCTAAAATTAGACTTCTTATATAATTTAAAGATTGATGCGGCCACAAATGCTGTGTATTATAAATTCCTTATTAATAATAATATCAATAAAAGCCACCGAGATGCCCTAGATCATAATCTTACCTTTAAATATTATAAGAGGAAAATTCAGTCTAATTTTAGAAATTACAGAGTAAAATGTGTTATTATTGAAGTATAGTTTGCCATTATGTACGTTTGTAAGACGGGACAACAAATGCCCGTGTGGCGTCCTCTTCTGATCACCCCCTAAATATATTTTCTGGACCCTGTGTATAAAGCATATCCAGGTTGATATTTTAAGCACGCTTGACAAATAGTTATGCAGTGCATAAATAATGTATTTTTATTTCATGATTTTATAATTATGACGTATTTATAATATATTCCTATACTTAGTCTTGAGACTATTTTTAAAGATCGCCTTGTCCCCCCTACTCTAAGACGCCATCGTCATCGCCATCTTAATACATTGGTATGAGTCCAGAAATCCTACATACATTTACTTCACTTCTGCAGAATGTCGTTCTTCAGTATTTTTCGAAAAATAACGAAAATGGAAAAAAAGAGCAAATAAAATAGTATTCATGCGTACCTATACAGTATACATATACTCAACCTGCAATTTTAAAATAATTTTAACTCGTCATATTGTACCTATAACTTTCAGTGATACTGTCGAATACACAACTGTACAGTTTTTAAAAATGTCTTTAGACCGTATATTATGTAAGTACTATTATACAGTATATACTACTATGTATATTTTCTTTATAGTTAGCTGTTAGAATTTTTCAGCCGACGCATCCGTCTTAATTTGATATGCCTTGTTCAGACGTCAATGCACACTGCATATTAATTTACATACATTACACTGGCATAATTTATCTTTACTTGCTTCATTTAAAACTATTATTTAATGACATCCGGAGTACCTACTTATAGTTATTAATTATTATTACACACGTCAAAGTTATTTATTTTATAAAATAAAAACAATTTGTTGATTCAATTGATTTGAAATTCTCGCGATTGGGGTTTTTTATGTACGTATATTTCATCATCTACAATATTATGTGCAATTTCAAAACACTATCGTGTTTTGAAGTATATTTTTATTTTTAGTTCATATTTACACGATGTTTTTGAAACGCAATTAAATGTACAAATATTTTTTCAGCACTATTTATCCGCGACTCAAGTGCATGGATTATTTTTAATACGATCAAAGAGCTTTAGCCTTTTATTTATCAGTGGGTGGGTTTCTCGCACGGTATGTACAACCCGAAATGGTATATAAAGGGTGGAGGATTTTTACCACCCATTGGCAATTGAATTCAATTACATTTTGCAAATCCCACATAAGCACTCGTGTTTTATAAGAGAGGGAAGTACGAGTGTTTTTCTTGTACACCAGTCCCTCTGTGTATACGCACGCAACGAGCCCTACGCACGCATCCCTCCATCCCCCCACCATACTCAAACCATATTATTATAATGGTTGATCTTTTGGACGTGTGCCGGAATTATTTCGGTCCCCAGAATCTGTGTGCTTATGTATGCTTGTACTCTTCGAAATTCTACTGAATAAAATTCGTTAAGTAGATTTGAATGCAAAAATGCATATCTTAACATTTTACACTTTTTTTTTTCGTGTGTGTGTATTTCAAAAACATTGTGGTTTGTGGCTCAAACAAATGTGAACCAAAATGTCGGTTGAAAAAACCTTCTCTTGAAAAATATACGGTATACGGTATATACATATAATCAATATATACATAGGTAAATCTATTATATTAGGTATCAAGGTCTCTGTAGTTTGGTCAAGCACCAACGAACAAAATATTTTATAAACAGAAACCATCCCTTTGTGCTAAAATGTAGGTACCTCTATACAGCATTACAGCTATATATACGCCTATATATACCCAATATGGCGATATATATATATGTGTGTATATATACAAATGTGTGTGTGTGTGTGTGTGTGTGGATATATACATAGAATAGGTATATATAATATATATATCATCATATACATTATTGTAAGCATGGTAGTATTATTATACATCCCGATGCTTGAAAATGATGACCGTTTCAATAGTTTGTACGATATAAGTATACCATTAGGCAATACATTATTTTTTCATTATAATTTCCACGTGTCATTCAATTTCTAACAATTTTTAAAGTTTGTGATTGTCATCTTAAAACCAAATTTATATAGATATACTACTATATAGTTAGGTATACTATAGTATAGTTATGTACATTTTACATGGATTTATTTTAATTGCTAACATAAACCATAATTATACATGTTTAATATAATTTAACTAAAATCATATTGAATTTTTTAATAAATCATTTTAAATAATCACACCGAGTGGTGAGTACCTATCCAATAATATAATCAATATTGTTGTTTTATATAACGCTCTATAAATATAGTATTTAAATAACAATAATTTTGAAGGTACTAAATATTTAAAATGTTTTAGTTTTGTTAATATTGTCTTTTATTTTACAACCCGTAACAGTACAATACGTATACCTATAATATGTGTTTCAAAATAATAATATTGGCTTATTGGAGTAAACCGCACCTATATAAATACCACTTTTGAACCATATATACATATATATATATATATAGTTATATATATATATACATTTATTATACACTATATAGTATATACTGCAAGTATATTAAGTAAATTGTATATAAGGTATATGTGAGACTACAATATATAGTAGGATTATATATAAATACGTATATATACTACATAGTATTATGGGTATTGTCATATAACTGTTGGTTTATAATTTATATACTGTATTCAGCGGCGGCAACACGATGAGCAAATAATACGTTTTGTTTTGTTCATCCTCGACCTGAATTTTACCTGTACACTCAATGGATTTCCTACTAAAATCGTCCTTACAATATAAATCATATAAAAAAAAATATGTTTTTAAAAAAAGACGGGTCCATCAATAAAATACACATCTGTTCTTAGAATTGACTTCTCTCGAAAGGTTTTGGCCGGACAATGCCTGCAGGTCAGCCAGACTGTGAGGAGCCCAAAGGTCCCGGCGACCCAATGTCTACCTTTTTCGCCCCCTCCACCGCGCCATCATTCGTTCATACCTGGTGTGAGTCTATTATGTTTTTGAAATTTCTCCGTTCTGTCGGCATATATAGGTACATTCGTTTTTGGCGGTGCCAGCACTGCAGTGCACGTCTAGTGTTTGTATAGTATTCGACGGTCTTACAACTGTGGTGGTGGTCAGTGAGTGAGTGTGCTTCGACCGTAAAACGCAGTTTTAATACATGTGCCGGGAAAACATTTTGTCGCCGGCAGTCGGGACTATGTGCCAAGAATTGAAGATGAAAACCAAAAGGAAATGTTACAGGAAATCCCCGTTGTCGATGCCCAAAGGTATAGTACTTGCAATATTATATAATATATACGTTGAGCGTTATTATACTTTTGATTTGAGGATTTTTTTTCGCATTTTTCTTTCTATACTCTATTATAATTTTATTCATTATTTTTTTTATCAGTAAACTGGCGGGTGCCCTATAGTGATATATACGAGTACGTGAGTCTGGAAACATTTTTGCTTAAATGGATTTTGATTGTTAGTAGATAAATCACGTTTTCGCAAACCGAGTGCGTCACCGTTCACCGCCGTCGCACGTGCGCCGACGCGCCGGCGGTTTGCCCACTTTTGTTGGTCTGTCGCGTTAAAAAAATGTGTGCACGCCAATGGGATGAAATAGTAATAATACCGATTATAATATATGTATGAGAAATCGATGTGTTGAAGTGTAAAGTATTTTTTACTATTCTGAGGTCGTTTTTGAAATGTCTAAAATACACACGCACGCACACACGTACAAATGTTATGTATACCTTTACATTTGAATTTTCTTAATTTTTTTTTTTTTACATACCTAAGAAATAATGATAACTGATAACTCATAATCACTGAACTATATATTACACTTACTTATTATTATTACTATACACCTAATCATTGGTATCCTATTCTCGAGCTGTTCAATACAAAAACTACAGCTTTATCTTTAGTAACAACGTAGGTACAGCGTTAGTATTTCACTTCTTAGTATAATCGTATTTTCGTATCAAATAAATTTTGTTTTGTGATGTAATAAAATTTCTAATTAATCTGTTGAACATGGTTTCTTTTTAAACTATGCAATATTTTTCACTTATGTTATATTATTATGGTTGTTAAATTTATACTTCCATATAGTAGCACATTAGAGTAATACTTCGAAGCCAATTTTATCGCACTAAACACATTTTGTGCGTTCTCCTTATTCCACTCGTGAAAATGACGTTACCGGATAACGCTCGAAGTAAGTCATACAATATTGCTGTAAAAAAAAAAAAATACTTTAAATGTTTTACTCTGGTATTACACCATATAATCAGGCATGCAGCTATCGAACCTAGGTAGTGGGTGTACTTAAAATTTGTACAACGATTAAATATTTTACATTAAAGTAATATTAAATTCAATATGCAAGTAATTAGGTAGGCAAGTATTAAAATATTAATTAATTTAGTAACAGAATATACCTTGTATGTTATTACTTATTGTATAGTAATAATAGTGCAAAACTAATAAATTTGTATACGACGTTCAAATAATAAATTAAACTACTAGTTACCACCTACTTAATTATGATTTATATTTTATATGTGATAATTGTTTACCATATTGTTATAATATTAATTATTATTATATTCTAAATTTAAAATGGGTAGATTTATAATATTATTATTTTACATATATATAAAATATGAGATAGGTACCAACTGTAGGTAATTCAAACATAAAACGGAATGATAATATTATTGATATAATAGTTTATTTTAAATAGTATGAAACTATGATCATCGTTTTATCCATTTATCAATTAGATCCCATGCATAAGATCATTCGCTATTCTTTGGTGGTACCTAATATAAAGTAGTATTAATTATTTCTTAACCAGAGGAAAATGACCTGCCTTAGACCCGAGGTCAACGTTTTTTCTTTAATTTATAAATATAAACATTTAATACGTAAAAGACTAGGAAATAAAACAAAGTGACCATATTATAAAATATAAACAATGTCCAAACCAGGAGTCAAGGTTGCTTTGGTAAACAAACCGCGCTATGTACTATGTAGTCAAATTGTTTTAGTTCCGATAGTTGTGTAGTTGTCTCGGTGAGTCAGTGTCAGATAGAACTGATTTTTGTCGCAACAGAATTCATAGTTTTACCGCCATGCGTCTAAATTTATTTTTAATAAAAAATTAGCGTTTAATTTATGCGTGAGTTATCGAAGAAATGGAATTGAAAATTGAAGCCGGCGGTAATATATATTGCACTCGGTGTACTGCAGTCGGAGAACTAATTCATTTGATGTAAATATGGGTAAATTGATTATTAATACTCGTAACTTTTTACTTGTTTTCGGGTCTACAGAGATGAGAGAGAGGAGCAGAAATGCGGCAAGGACACGTAGGGAGAACGAGAATGCGGAATTCCTAGAGTTAGCCAAACTCTTGCCGTTACCAGCTGCCATTACTAGCCAATTAGATAAAGCTTCAGTCATTCGGTTAACCACTAGCTACTTAAAAATGAGACACGTCTTCCCTAACGGTAAATATAACATGTGACTTATTCATATCTGTACTTAGAATTAGTTTATAATGTTCATACTTAAGTACTAATAATATTTATTGCACCTATCATAATTTAGGCTTGGGTGACGCTTGGGGTGCAGCGACTCCAGCAAACCACGCGAAAGAAGCTTGCATTAAAGAGCTTGGTTCGTATTTACTACAGGTAAATATATTAAAGGTAATTAGATAAAACGGGTAAAACTTATATGTGTTATGATTCGAAATTCAAATAACAACGTTTTGTTTTTAATTCCAATTATTTCATCAAGCCATTGATTGTATTTAATTAATGATCAATCTAATGACAAATTACGATTATATAAATATTTTATAACACTTTGTTTTATTTCTAACAATATCATTTATCAATCCACTTAATGACACCGGAAAAACTGTTGACATGTGATTTTCTGAAGCTATATATTCAACCCAACTATAACAATATTAATAATTATAATTGTATAATTCATATTATATTTACCTATGATTTTATTTTTAGAGTCTCGATGGTTTTATATTCGTCGTAGGCGGCGATGGTAAGATCATGTATATATCTGAAACAGCATCCGTTCATTTGGGATTGTCACAGGTATATAAAATATTTTATTATTACCTACATTATAATTTATATTTAATATTTAAAAACAAATGTTTCTGGAGTACTTTTTATTTAATCATTATTTTAAATAATTGATATTTAATGTCGATTTATATTGCTTCGTTAAGGTGGAATTGACTGGTAATAGTATATTTGAATATATCCATCAAGCCGATCACGATGAAATGATATCAGTGCTTAGTCCACCTCTTCCTCAAAATCTTCCAGCAGAGAACATGATGATGAGTAAGTTATTAGACATTATATCTTACGATGTATTGGAGATGGGTGACACTAATAAAAAAAAAATTTAGATTCGACCGTGTTTGAACTTCAACGTGTATTTTTTTTACGAATGAAATGTGTATTGGCAAAACGGAACGCAGGGCTTACAACAGGAGGATACAAGGTAAATTATAAATTTATATTACACTAGGTATATTATTATACATATAGTTATAGCCATAATTTATAAATACATTATGTTAAGAGCTTAAACAAACAAAATTGGTTTTTAAATTAAAATCTGATTGTTTGCATTATCTACATCTAATGATGACAGTAGTTGGTAAATATAGGTACTTGTGTTTTCAGTTCTTGAAATATTAATTTTAGGACAATATTTTACTCGTTAATTAGTTATGTGATATAATAATAATAGATTTTAGCACATATTATTAAGCATCTAGTATAAGAGTGATATTTTAAAAAGTATTTTCATTTTTATGAATTTACAAAATATTAATTTTTGAAAGCTTAAAGCTTGAAAATTTCACTATGATGATATTCTGCAATATGTTTGAATATTTAGTACCTAATTATCAGCAATTTATGGTATATTACATAATACTTTATAATAGTATTAGTTAATATAGGATACATATTGTACAGATGGAATAGGTTGGTAGAATTGTAGCAAAATATAACAAAAATGATTATATTTTTCCATTGTATGCAAACTTAATAAGAAATAACTTTAATAGAATATTGTATTAATTCATAGTTATATAATTATATTCACAACTTATTTGAATGTAAGCTAATAGGTTCGGTTATTATTTTTCGACATTGTATCGGTGTATATAGTATGTAAATTAATTGAAGAGTCAGTAGTTGTAATATTTTTACAGTTACTAATTTTCCAATTATTGTATATACCGTAAATCCCAGTTAATAAAATATTGATATGTTTTTTATTATTTCCTGTTAGTAAAAGTTGCGGTATAAATACAGGTAATAATAAATAATAATAATACAATTAAAATAAATATTAATAAAAAGAATACAATGGTACTTAGTACAAATTATAAACACAATATTGAAAGGTAGCTTAAAAAAATAGTTCTTATCAGTTTTCGGAGGTATTTCATCAATTTTGTACTTTTATCATATTTTATTAAAAATGTAACTTACATATTAACACGTAGGTGATGTAGAATTACCTATCTTTGGCCTAGGTACGTGTGATAATGATAAGAAAAAAATAACAACAATGTAACACATTATTTTTTTTTTTTTTAATTATATTTTATAAGGATAAAGAGTTCTTATAAGTTATCACGACAAGCCCGAAGAAACAAAGCTACCTATAGGTTAATGACATTTAATATTATTGTTTTACTGAATCACTAACTACAGCCTAAACAATAAAACTATAAAATGGTCTGGTGGCAGTTTAAACACTTACTGCTAATACAAAAACCTGAACGTGTTTACTTTCATAATTTACTATACAGTCAATAGTCATCTGGTACATACCCATACATGATTGTACAAGCTAACAAGGCGAAAGATCAATATTTAAATCAAATTAAATAAAAATCAATATTTAAATTTGTAAATAACCGCGTTGCAGTATTTAAATTATTTATTTTTTCATTAGATAAATAATGGATGAAGGTAGTTAAAAAAATTATAATTTTTTTAAATTCAATTTTGAGGTACACAGTTTAAGATTTAAATAGCACGTGTATAGTTTATGATATGAAATTATTTTAACAAAATATTATCTAATTATTAATCAAGAATGAATGTTTATAAAATATAATATTTTATGCAAAATAATAATAAGTATAATTAAAAATAGTTGAGTGTGTAAACAATAATAATGCGTAAAGCATGTAAACAATGCAGAATAACCTTCACAATTATTATACATTTAAAATAATTTTATACACATAAGAACTTTATTGTTTATCCAACTAAAAAAATGAGTGATATCAAACTATAATGTAAAATGTTAATAAGTTGATTTTTAATTGTTTTTAGACTCTCATAATGTTTTCCTAAGCACCTATATAAAATAAAATAAATGCCGGGCTTAAGTTCAAAAAAAAAAATAAAAATATTTTAATTAGTTTTTAAAATTGTTTTAAATTCAATATTGCATTCAATGTTAGTGGAAATTCTTATAATACAATTTTTGGTTTAATCTTAATGTAAAACAACTTCTAATCGATTTCGTATTTGCTTATTAATTACAATTACCTACTGGCCAAATAATTATTTTAAATAATAAAGAAAAAAATATGTTTTGTTCAGTATATTATGTGATTGGTATTAAGTTTTGCCCAATCATTCTATACCTACAACTCTATTGTCTTAACAAGTGTTTAATATGCTCGAAAACAATATTACATTAATACATTATTAACACGTTTACTGCGTATAATTTATTTGTCTATGTATTTTCCACGGTGCGTATAAAAACACCAACAAGTTAAAAAAAAAATGGAAAAATTGTGGTAGTTTTTTACGACGTACTTCTTAACACTTGTTCTATAACATTTATTAAGTTACGCTAGTCGATATAATTAGCTTATTGTCTATAACGGTAGGTAGCTGAATATTATAGCCAATTAAAAGAATATATCGAGGAACCGCAAATAAGCGTCATGTGCAATTAACGCGTCAACTTGCCTAGTACTTTTTGTTTGAAACAATTATTAGGTATTGTTTTATGCGTACAGGTGTTCTGCATTTTATTTGATACGATTGGTGCCCTGTACAAACTATCGAGTTCACCATCTGAAATACAAACAACCACTGTATACCGTATGTACCTACCTACTTTAAATTTTCGTTTACTTAAGATGCAATTGCGGAATTAAATTTTTTTATACATTTAAATTCCCAGTGTTTGAATATGAAAAATAAAAGAAGGCATAATATGGGGTAACGCAATCCATTCTAAAGAAGGGCTTATTAAGAATATATTTTTATCTAATTTTACCATGACTTAACCTGTCACAACTCTGCGCGTGAAAAAATTCTCCATTTCAATTTAAAAAAAAATAAATACACATTAACACATTGGAAGATTATAAAGCTCTGTAAAGCGATTGAAAAATCAGTGTAATCAACTAGCTTATGAAAATAATATTACGTAAACGACTAACTATTGGTTCTTATTAATTTCATACCTACTTCCTGCTGTATTGAAGGTGTACTACACGAAATAACAATATACCTATATTGCTATATATTATAAAGTTTGTTCCTTCTTTTACACATTTTTCAATCAATTATAAAACTATAATAGAATAATTATGAAAAAAGAAGTTCTATAATAGTATTTTTCTCTGAGTTTCATTTAGACAAAATAGATAAATATTATGGAATTCACAGACATATCGTACGTTAGGTTAAAGTATCTGTATCTTCCATATCACTCTTCCCAATTCAAGCACCAAGAGTATACCGATAAGACGATAAACATAATAATTAATAAAATGCAAATAATATGCGTATAATTATAGTAGATAGGTATTATTATACTCTGTAAAATAATATAATGGGGTTTAGGTAGGTACGGGGTATCACATTGTCTGTTAATTAAGTATTATCGTATGATTGTTCGTGGTTAATTTTGAACAGGTATCATCTGTATTCTATGTAATATTTAGGTAATAATATATATAGCGATAATAAATATATGACATTTTTCGAATATAACCCCCTTGTTAACCATCGGGAACACTCGAATGGCCCACAATATTGTTCGCTGTCAGGTTATTTTTGATATCTTATAATTATTTAATTTTATATTTGCTCGATATTAATTTTTATATGCATAGGCGCAAATAGGAGGGGGGCTAGGGGGCTTTAGCCCCCCTTGAAGTTTCTATAGCCCCCCCCCCAAAACTAACGATTTCACTACTATAATTTAAAAGCATCATAAGAGTTTCAAGTATAGACCTGAGCTTCAGCCCCCCCAAATTTCAAACACTATTTACGCCAATGTTTATATGTCTGATTATGGCCAGTGCATAGTTATTTCAAAATAGATTGTTCTCAAGCCAAGACCTGAGTATAAAATATACGTATTAATGTACCTATCACATGTGAACGTGTTGAAAATTAAAATGATTTTATATCTTAGCGGTTTTTATTAAAATATACTTCATCATGTATCGTATTTCTGTATTATACGTGTACCTGTATGTTATATTTTTTTTAACTTACCTTCTCGCTAATACCGCCACGCTAGGTAGTATATATATATAATTTTAAATGCCCCACTCTGTAAATTCTGCACTTGGTCAATTCTAGGATCTATATAATAATAATATTATACACATTGAATTAGGATGGCACTATAATGGTAGCCACTAGCCGAGTATTGGTCGTATAGTGTATACTTACTTATATATATATATAGGTAGGTGGTAGGTACCTATATTTTATTATATTATTAGTTATAATATAACATTATACGTTTTTCTATCCCTATACATAGAAAAGTTTCATAAATTTGATTTATGATCTATATACGTATATACTATATAATATAATATATATGATGTACATTTTTTTGTTGTTGTGGACGGCTTAAGTGTAGGCCATAAAAATCACTCGTGTACCCTGGCGTGTGTTCGTGCATACATTACGGAGCTAATGCTCGCGCATATATAGGCTCATATAACAAACGGGCGCGTATTGCTGCAGCATTATAATAAATATATATATAATATTACACATATATTATATAATCACATAGTACGCGCACGCCGTATATGTGTGCCGTGTCAATTGTTATAATATATACGTAATAATATATTATATAGCATAATTTACAATATACGTACTAGGGGGGCAGGGGGCAGGAAATGGGATGAGAGGAGCGGGGAAAATAAAAAGGAGTAAAATAATAAAATACAACGGACGGCGCCATGTTGCGGGGGCCCAGGTGTGCGCGCGAGAGTGAGTTTAATCGCCGCCGTATTTACCTGTATTTTTGGCCGTCCGTTTGCCATTGGCCGCGCTCGCCGCGGGCGTCCTCGCAACACTCTTCGAGAGTCCTCCTCTTTTTCAGTATTTTTTCCTCGGTACCTCTTTCTCCACAGGACGACCGAGCTCGCGCTCCAGGATAAACGATAGAGCGTCCGATATCTGATCATCTGGCCGTATCGAGGCTGCGTACATTGCACGGCGGAAGGCAGTATAGGTACATGTCCTGCTCCAGGTTGGGCCAATAAGATATCGTTTAGTGTTACATAATATTGATTTATCGTACACAGGAAAACGTGAATTATCGGTTCATCTGGTAGCTTTAATCTGTATGTGTGTATGTGTAGATAATAATATATAATAAATAATACATGACGTAGGATTACCTAGATTCTTTATTTCCTTTTTATCTGCAGCCGGTTCCGATACCGTGATAAAAATTAAAGCCAGACGATTATTCTTATTAGCGTGGTCGGACGGTTAGAAGAGCGCTAAACTTTTATTTTTTTTTTGATCAATTTTTGTTATGGGTTGTAAATTTCTATAATAAATTGTAAGCACACAGTATAATATAGTATACTGCAGTAGGTATGCCAGTATAACATATATAGATTATTTCAGATTATAATGTAGTTGATCGCCGCATCGAACCTGCAATCTGCAACACGCATATAGGTACAAACCAACAAATTACGTAGCGATATTACCAAATTACGTATTATTACGTCATAATCTTTGATAAGGAAAACTTAAAAACAGCGTAAAGTCAAAGACATAATAAAGACCTAAATAATCATTTACTGGCTGCTATGCTGTGTTTTAAATTTTAAATGTATTATATGTAGGTAATAGGTATATATAGACTATAGGTATAGGTACGTTTGTATAAAATAGGTATTATAGCGGCAAAAATATCTACTGTAGAATAATTATTGTTCTATTCATTTTAACTTTTAACTTTTAACTTGTATAGATAGTTATACTAATAATATAAATCTGATTACCTAGTGCTGTATAAATACATGGTTAGGCTATGCACGCGCTGTTATAATAATATTTAGCATATTGGCCAGTGGCCGCTGAGTACATAGTATTATTATGTACAATTTTTCTTCTTTATAATAATATTATTATATATTTATAAATACTGTATTGACCAATATTCTGTACAACAACCATATCATATTTGGATTTAATTAGTCTTAATATGTATTTCTTTTGTTGAAATCGTTGTTCATGATATACTTTGTTTGATAAATGAAAATGAGCAGATTTTACCTATCCAGTACATATAAATTATAAACATACAACATGTCAACAACCATAGGCTACATATACTAAATTTTTTTATGATTAGATAGAAATAAACACTGTAAAAGATAAGCCCGGATCAGATAAATATGTTTAAGGTGATTAGGACTAGGAGGAGGACAATAGTATACAATATTATGAAAAAATTTCTATTATGGCTCACTTTGCAGAAGCGGGAAATTCTAGCAACATCGGCAAAAAAATTTGCGCACGCTTACTTAATAGAATAGTAGTATAAATTGTTAGTATTATCGAAATAGGATATAGTAGTACAATAAAATTGTGTAGGTACCTACTAGTGGCTAGTACTTACATAGAATAAAATATAGATACCTATTCCTACCAACTGTACTACAATGTATATATTATAGATCATATTATTATGTTATGCTTATGAGTTATGAATTTATGTCACTTACAATAAATTATGTTCCCAGTACAAAGTATGTCATGAAGTACAAGATTCAGTGCTGTTTGCTATTATTACAATATTATATTAAACATAAATATGAAAAATTATACGCGATGTAAGAGGCCACTTAAAATCGGATACATGGCAAATTGAACGTTCTGAATAATTAATTTAACTCTGTTATGTTTGCGAATTGAAATAATATTACCAAATAAGTAGGTAAGCATATTATCTAGTGAATTTCACATACGTTTTGATATTTTTATCTTAAAGGGAGTTATAATTTATGAGCATTTAAAAATGTTAAATTGTTTATACATTTTAAATTTAGTTTAACTCTCTTTAAAATTAAAATAAACATAACAGCTATAGTTAAACGGATTATTTAGAACGTACAATGTTTGCCATGTTATGCGTTTGTAAGACGGAGACAACGCCTGAGGTTGTAGCGTCTTCTCCGTTCTAACGTATATACAAATAACCGTATATTGTATAATATTTATATGTATTGCCGTATTGGTATACAGTATGCACACTTCCAGTTGTGATTACATATATTTATGTTCACGACGCACAAACTATACACGAAAATTCGAATCGCAATAGGTAGTCACGTTCTGGAGAATATTATACTTCAAAGTAAGAATAATGTACAGGCATTTCCAAATCCTTTCCATTGTATAACGTAACATTACGAGCGTCCTCGCTATAGGTGAGTTTTCCGAAACGTGTCCAAGTCCAGGCATGTCGAATGCCAGAGTGAAAACGTTTTAAAACAACCTATACACTCCACATGTGGTGTCGATATCCGAAGATTGATTACGCGAACCGGTCGCATTCGTCGTAGGTACCACTACACAGTACCTACACATTATAATAGTCTCTAATCCCAACCGCTTATTGATACCTCACGATCGGCTCCAACGTGTCTGAGACACGGAGAACACCTATGATTTTTATTACTATTCAGAACCCATTGTCCCTGGTGCCGAAGGTACATTTTGGAATTTTTTGGGTATATTTTTCGAAATGAAAGACAGTGAGGTGGAGGTGAAGAAAAAAATATCTCACACCTGTGAGAGACCCGTATTTAATTTATTCTAATACTTAAATCTCGTATTTTTGGTTGTGGTCACGTCTCGGCTATTATGAATGGACTTCTTGACACCTTCTCAACGTGCACATTATATTACCTAGCCTATTATAACCCATGTGGCTATATGATGCAGCAACGACCTTTAGAACAGGTCTTATGTTGTTGTTTTTTTTCACATATACCTATATAATAAAATATAGCATATATACAAAAACCTATATATATTTTATAATGGTATTTTTTCAACGGCATAATATAATAACACACACACATATAATATATATTATTGTGTTTGTGAGTATTGACTAGTGCATGCTGCAGTAGGTACCTATATATATTATACGACTCTATCAATGGTCTTATTTGTTTAGACATGTAAGTAGGTATACATCCGTTTCGATATTGTCATATTGAATTTTCGTCGAACACCCAAGGGGATCATATTTCTAAAGTAAATGTAAACTATATTCGTTTGCCTTCGCATACACGAAAAAAAAGTATCATATTGTATACACACGTATAATATGTCGTGTGTATGTGTGTGTATGTGTATTGTGTGTGTATGTTTGTAGATTTCGATAATTAGCCTTAAAAATGAAACCATGATATGTTTGTTGTTATTTAACTGTATTTAAAAATTGATATTATTATCTATAGTTCGTCAGTTATCAATTATAAATTAATTTGCATAAGATTGTTATTATATCCACTATAAAATACATACAGTATTAATGCCGATAATTAAACCATATATTGAGTCTTTGTAATATTTTACACTATAATATTTAAGTATAAAATATTCATAAAAACTAGTAGCGACTATATAGAGCATTTTAACGATGAATATTTTTCAGCCAATTTATAATTATTAGGTATTATAGTCTATATAATATAGTGTTATAACTGCATTACAATTTATTATTAATTACACCATACATATTTTTTGTGTTAACTATTTATAGGTAATACACTGTTCTGGTTACTTGAAAGTGAGACAATATCCAGCAGGGATGCCCGGTGTAGAAACCGTTGGCCTAGTAGCAGTTGGTCATTCGTTACCTCCACATGCCATCACAGAGATTAAATTGCACTCAAATATGTTTATGTTTCGTGCGAGTTTGGACTTGAAGCTCATATTTCTAGATGCTAGGTAAGTCAAGTCAGCTATTTTTAAAATCCCAATAAATAATAATATTTGCGGATATTTGGCTTATTATGTCCAATATCCGTAGATAACATAGACCTTTGTTTCTATTTAATTTCTTACAACTTATTATGAGTACTGGTTAAAAATGTTTTATTAGACTTTTTCAACTCACACCCTTTGTTTGATTTTCTATATTATTTTACATCATGTAACTTTGTGTAAAAAGTATGGTGTTTTATTTCATTATTAAATTACAGAGTGTCTCAGCTGACAGGATACGAACCTCAGGATTTAATCGAAAAGACACTCTATCATTATATACACGGAAACGACATTCATAACATGAAACTCTCGCATCACACACGTAAGTACTGAAAAAAAAATGTCAGTAAATACTAAATATTAATTAATTTGCTCGTTTCAGTGTTATTGAAAGGCCAAGTCACCACGAAATACTACAGGCTGTTGGCCAAAGACGGTGGTTGGGTGTGGGTTCAAAGTTACGCCACTATAGTTCACAATAGTAGATCTTCAAGGCCCCATTGTATAGTTAGCGTAAATTACGTACTGAGGTAAGTAAATCAAATATTTATTGGAGAACACGATCGACGGAGTTATATAAATTAATATACTTGATTATTCTGCAGCGAGTCCGAAATGAAAGACGTCTGCTTGTCCGTGCGCAACAGCGGTTGCGCGACGTCACAGAACGGCAATGAAGACGCTGCAATTCAAAACAAACCCAGCAAAGCGCAACAAAGCCAAAGACAATCGAATCAAAATCACAGGTACCACAGGCCACCGGTGGTCACCGACGAAGAGTACAGTGATTCCAGTGGCGGACTTTACAATGACTACGTGAGCAGTAACAGCGTAAGTGTATAAAACGAAAACAAAAAAAATTTGTTTTTGGTCGTTATAAAATGTTATCGATGCACTGCTTGTGTCTGAAAGGATATCATAGGTGTTATAATATATTATTCAGTCAAATAATATACATTAAAGTATTATACAATGACGTAGTTCGTGTTATATCTTCGCCTGTCAATATTTCAGCTAAACGAGCGTATCTGCTTATGTACCTACTAATTATACTATGCAATATGCATATATGATAAAATGTTTATATGTGTATTAATGTATAGGTGTATTGTATATTATATTATAATTATACACTTGTATAGGTTCCGTTAAACGGCGGTATATCGTAGTGTGTTGATTACACATTTTAAACCAATTTAAAATAGACTTGTGCTCCATAAACGTTGAGACGGATAACATTGTCTTTAAATTTTAAGTAAACAAAATGAAATCGTTATAATTTATAATGGCCATGAGCCCATAACTGTATGTCTGTTGTATACATTGTGCTGAAATAAAAACTAAAAAGTAAGCAATAGGTAAAGTATTTTATTTTAATGACGATCTTTGTGATATGCTCAGTACTCAACAGATACGTAGGTACGTATATTATTTTGTATACAGGTAGCATCCATTAAATTAAATTCTTATGTTATATAATAACATCTAAACAATTTGTATAGTTAACAAGTGAAAATAGAATTTAAAAAAAATTAAAAAATAAAAAAACAAAAATTATAAATGTACGGAATATTTTGTTGTTTACATCCTACACAATTAACAATTTATGTATAGTACTCGCTCCTCTTATTCTAATATAACTACTATTTAGGTACTACAACTATATGTATATGTGGTCTCTGTTATCGCAGTTACTATTTATGTATATATTATATTATATAGTAATATTGTACCTATACATCACATGAAAATTCAACTAAAATTTGGTTGTGACTCGATTTCTGTAGTTGTCCTTTGTGTGAATGTAATAATATTTTATTATTGCTTATTTTTCTTACACTACCTTCACAGAATAAAGTCATTTTCAATCTTGGCCATTATTAATATAATTATATGCATTAGCATTACGCCGTTACAAAAACGGTCATGTAGTTTACAGTAATACAGACATACAGTAGGCATACAACGCATTATGCACATTTAAAGTGTTATCATATTGTCTCATAATATGTAACATAATATTACATATACCTACCTATATGGCTATATGTGGTACAATAATATATTATATCTTGGTTCATATTACCTATGCAGCTTAAGAAAATTAGATAAAAATATGTTATTTAAGTGTGTGAAAGGTTTAAACATACACTCATTTTAAACTATATCTTATTAATATTACCGGATTGTATTAACATATTTTTATAAATAAATAATAATTATAGGTACATTTTGTAATATTTTAAGAATACATTTTATAATGCAATTTGTACTTTTTTGAAGCAACTAGATGATTTTATTATGGAATTATTGTATTATTTTCATTGCAATTTTGACATATTTTTAGTGCAACTAAATCCGGTCTTTACTTATTATATACACACAGTATATTAAACAAAATATAAGATTACCGTTTGCCGTTCGTGTAACGTAACAGTTTACATGCCTGCAATTTATATTCAGTAGGTATTCACATCATATAAATCAAAATCATATTCGATTCAATTGCAACCATACGGATGACAAGGACAAATTTTTACGAACCAATAAATTACTAGATTCTAGTAAAGTAGACCCCAGGCGGGTATAGTTGTTGGATATTTAAAATTGATTGAATCAATAAAAATTACAGTTCATATGTATCATGTACCTACTATGAGTAGTGAGTACTATGAGTACCTACGGCTAATTCCATACAATATACTATTATAAATTATAATATATTTTATGAGCCTAAATGGCCAAGGTGCACCTGTCACCTATATGAATATACTATTTACCTTCTTATTCTTAATTGATTATACACACAACCAGTGGCCTTTAGGACGGTAGTGATAGCATATTATATAACTGTTTACCACTTATTCGAACAAAATTGACAAAAATGTAATTTTTATACAGCGCAGTTTTTTCTCTATAACAACAAAAATTACATATTAATAAGTATACTACGTGTCTACACATATTACGTATTAGTGTATTACGTAATAGGTATATTATAATATATTAAAATGTATAATGCCATATCGTTGAATTTCATAGTCTACAGTCCTGCTGGTTTTAAAACATTTTGACACGCATGCGTATTACAAAATTGTATACCTACCTATTTAAATTTTAAATATTATATAATGTCATAATTGTCGTCACTATTATACTACACAGTCATGCCGCCACCGGTGATCCTCAAAGCAAAAATTCGTGGTTGGAGGGCTGGGGTTGGAGGGTTGGGAGGAAACTACGTTGTTCGAGAGACAATATACCCTTCACCGGTGACATTTCACGTGCTTATATTACACGAGTTTCTAACAATGTTTTAGCGGTCTACAAGTACATACACGTTAGAGACCCATTTCCCGCCCTTGTAAAGGATTGTATATAATAACATAATATTATATGCGCTCAAGTTCATAATATAATAATATGTTATCGATAGAGCATTTTTTTATTGTTATATGAGAAGTGGTGTATGAAAAGAGTATAGTTAAAGCTCGATTTCCGCACGTTAAGAATTCCTCTGCCCGGTCTGCCCAAAATATTTAGAAAATCCTTAAAATAAATCGGTATCAATTATACGGATATGCATTTTTAGTAATTGTTAAGAAATGGATTATTTTCTTAAGCAGAGCCATTTGTTGGTTTTTGATGCAGTGTAACATCATAGTTGAGCCCCAACCTATATAACTGCAAACTGCAGTTGTTAGTATGAATTATGATTTCTGATAGACAATACAACCTATACCATATACATATATACGACACTGTATAATAATATTATACACAGTGTTTTAAAAGGCTTCATCCGATTACGAACTGATATATATTTCAGCAACAGTTAATCGCAAGTTAGCGACCCACGTATTAATGCTTGACTGATTAATAAAACTTACTTTAAGAATATATTTTACTTAATTTCACCTTTATATCTTTATTTTTAAAGTACCTACCTAAATATACATTTTTGAAATCGGATGAAGACTTTTGATACATCCTGTATTATATTATAATACCTTTCAGTAATCTGTACACTTGTACAACGCATATGTTAATGTTTTCAATACCTACTTTATTCTATACCTTTTTTTTCTTCAAAAACGTTAAATGGTTTTACACACTAGACATTAATCGTCGTATTTAAACGCGTATTGTAAATAATTATTACACACTCTTCGTTGATTATATTATATCGTAAATAGGTACAAAATTGTGCATAAAATATCGTACAATAATTAACTGTTTTGCATTTCTGATGCAGGAACCGCAATCGCTGGTCAACGGCGCAGTCGGCAGCGGCGGCGGTGACGGCACAGGCCACCACCAACCGCCTCACCTGAACATGATGCCGGCGACCAACATTTATGTCGATGATTACAATATCACCTATCCAGATTTTTTCTACCCGTACGACCAGACATGCGCGCGGCCGTTCAGCTCTGCCTCCAGCTGCTCCAGTTCGAACGAGAGCGACCGGATGCAGCTTGCGCATCAAGCCGGTGGCGGTGGATACACGCCGCCTGCGGCCATGCTCATGAGCGCCAGTGGCCACCACGACGACCATCACGCCGCGGCCGCGTACCAGGCGTTAACGCCAATCGGCGCCTCCGTGCCCGTGACGGTCGTCGGACACCACCACGGTGTCATCGTCGATAATCAACACTACACCGCCGTCAACGAGTACGTCCACTGATCGCCCGCCGCCGGGGACGTACCTACGTAAGACGTCATGACACGGAGTAGCTGAACATTTTTTCACGCCAAAATTCTAACGCCGAACGACCGCGATTAACCATATTATGATGTACATAATATTTATGTATACATAAAGATGTATGATCCCATATATATATAATTTAGCGTATAGGTAATATAAAATAGTAATAATTATGATGTATAAATATTATACGAGTAGAGCGATGACATATAAAATATCGCTATCGTACGCCCTTGTACCGTATATCTAAGTCCTAAATATGATGATGTGCTGTACGCGGGGATTGCTCGATCGCAAGTCGCAACCAGTTGTAATTCGTGTGTTGTAGGACTGGCGGCAACGGGTGGATGGCCTGAAAGTTGGTAGTTCAGAGACCGCGAGTGTTCGCCACATATATAATATTTTGTGTTGACAGCTGTATAATGAACAGCTCGATATGGATATATTATGGTCATACCTACCTATGTGGTACAACACACGATAAGAAGACTGCAGTCGAGCTGCAAACCATGGAACGCACAGGAGACGTTTAATATGTACAAAAATAACAAGCCTCCGCGTAAAGGTACCTTTACAGTTTACAGTCATATACGGCATACATTTTTGTGTATAAATTATCTTCGTCGGTATTATATTATAAAATATCATTCCACCACTTACCCAAAACGCGCTTTCGGGTTTATGTCGATTATATAAAATCATGCGTGTATTATACTATTATGTACTTACCTGGGGATCAGGACTATTTCAAAGTATATCTGTACATCCGTAAAAGGCATACATATATAATATATTGGGTATTTGAAAACAACTTAAACTTTTTTTGACATATTATACTAAACGCAAACATTGGAATGTTTCAAAACATTCAATACTGGCGTGCTGGTATAATAATAATTTGATTTATAGTAAATTTTAACTGTACATAATCTTTGCACTGACAATTTTAAGTCATAATATAATAATATTTATGTATCGTATATATATATAAGTAGATTTATACTTATTATTCCTGTTAACTCTGTAGAATATATATTTATTATTTATTTGTACATTTTACGATAATTTTACCTGTATAATTTATTAATATAGCCATGCGTCATGCATTTTAAAATGTATATATATATTTCAATATTGTGTTTTGTTAATATTGCCTATAATTTTATTATAGTATAAATTTATCCGAGGTGTATATGATACGCAGGTTCAGATTAAGGGGCGACCGGCCGAGCAGGGGGAGCCACGTTATTCACGGGCTACTGTCGGGGTGTTTAAAGGGAACGTCGTATAGTGTTGTCAGCTTAAATGTTTATTAAGTGGTAATTTATTTACATTGTAAATTTAAAAGTGAAAATATTACAATTTACATTTAAAGGTAAACTAAACAAATAAAAGGCGGGCAAGTTGGTACCGTTCTGCTCACTGCTGTATATTATAGGTATACCGTCCTATAGTAGTCGTGTGGGTCACTGTAATGCGTATGTGTTAAATTTGAATTCAGTCATTGTATACGAAAAAAGATTATAAGGGAAGACCGCCTATATTGGCCTAGAGGTTTGTCCGCCTAAATTGCTAATAAATAAATTATAATATATATTAACAAATATAATATATTTATAATGCTATAAAAGTAATTTATTTTACTAGTAGGTTGTTATATACAATAGATTAAATTAATTTTTTTCCGAAAAAATTGCATTTGAAAATGTCATTGTATGAAATATAATCATATAATAGGTAAGTTACCTAAATGATTCAAGTAACTACTGCGAAAAATATTTTTAAATTGCAACAAAATAACTAAAATTGTCAATTTTAAATTAAAAATTTAAAAGTATTAAAATGTCAATATTATGAATTTGGAAAAATTTAAACTTCAAATGGTTATAAAAATAATCGGGTATATGTATTATGTATCTTTAATATTTTTAAACTGTTATAATATAAACTTACGAGGAACCATATATTAAATTTGCAAGCTTTTTGACTACACAAATGTTTTTTTATCGAAAATTTTAAAAATCAAAAAAGTCAAATGCATTTAAAGAAGTCAAAATGTCTAAAATTATTTCAGAAATTGTATCAAATATCAAGTATCTGTTTTGATACCCTATGTCCTATGATATAGCTAGATCTTAGGTAGGCATAGTACCTACTATATATATACCTATATCTATCATTTAAAAAACTTGCGCCATAATAAGCAAAAAAAAAGTAAAAAAACCATACGTTTAATTATTTAAATATAAATTACTTTAAAGTCTTCTACTTTTAACATAATGATAATAATATATTATTAATATTATTTCAACAATAAGTAATTATAAAATAATGTGTACCTACTTATGCGTGGTATGCCAATGTGGCCAATATAATAACCAGGGGTAGGATGTGGAATTTGAATGCGAATAAAAACAATGAAATGTGCATTATTTTTTATTGAATATGCTAAAATATGCACTTTAAAATTTTAATGATTCCCACAAAATTTAGGTACGAAAAAAATTATTTTCTAATTGATATATATCAGCGTATATCATATTATAATATAATTGACATGAATTCAAGCAAATTTTTAACATTACGTCAAACTTCAATATTATTGTTTATAGGTATTCTGGTATTCAATATTTAAAAAAATGATTATTTGGTATTAAAACAAGCACGACGATCGGTGTATGTCTCGTATTCAATATACATTTTAAAAAATGTTAACAATAATATAGGTAGTAGGTACACGCCACACGGTAAACCAATGATGAATCGTAATGTCTATTTTATTGTAAATAAATAATAATAATAAATATAACTGTATACCTATTACCTATATCAATATCATAATTATTAAAGAAAAAAAAATCGTACAAACGAGGCGTTCTTACCGACTCGACTGAATACGTTTTCGATTTTCGTGAGGTTGAAACGTTTTGTTTAAATGACAATAATTGCACAATGTCGTTTTATTTTTAAGTATTAATTTGCTACGTATGTACATTTCTATATTTTATCACGCATGAAATTTTCACCTCGTTCTCTCTCCAAACATTTGGGACCAAAAGACTTGTTTAATACAATCACTGAAAAACAATTAATATGGAAATATATTATTTTATATTATACGGTCCATACTTTTCTCTTGATCGGTACGCACAGCTTATTTATTATTATTATGTATATAGCTTTATTATTATTGTGTGGAAAAACAAAAAAAATACACACGCACACACCGACTCCGCGTGGGCCGTGGGAGAAATCGAATAATAAGAGAGCCGTTTCGTTTTGATAATAATAATGATTTGTCAGTCGCGTGTGCCACAGGGTGTTTATAATGGGAACAATGTCAGCGGGACATCGTGTATAATTGACCGTCGGCGTCGGTCTGTCTGCACACGCGTTTTGACTTCACAGCATGTCAACGCGAACAACATTACTACAATACGTCATATTATAGGTATTAAAATAACAATCGTAATGACGTGTAATAGCCACAACCCTTTTGGATTCAGCAGCATTACAGATTCGCCTACACAATAATATATATAGTCGGTACGTCTACGGTATACGTATACGTATATATAGTACGTATGTATATTATTATATTAATTGATGAATAATATATTATCATGATATGCTGGCTGTTGCACCGTGTGAATACCTACTTTTATAATTTCAATAATATATTTTTAATCCGTCCGTGCCTGTATAGGTAATGAGTGCGAATGATGTACAGACTGCGGTTCATATAATCATATTCAATAATTATTATTAATTATTAATTATTCAAGTAAGTACTGCTGATTGATATGTAGGCATGTAGCCCTTTTATATTGTTGTTGTACGCGTGTTTTTTTTATGACTATGCATCGATGATATTACGGAATTTCAAAAAATAAAAAAAGACGTGTTTTAATTTTTAACCTGTCAATTTTTTTATCCCAATTTCAATATTTTTAAGGCAGTTGTACCAACAGTAAAATCAACTTTATTTTTTTAAATAGTAGGTAGCTACCTAAAAACTTTAATAATATGTTAAATAGATTTTATAGATTCTGATAGAACTCTGTTTTCTGGAAATTTTTCTGTTATAGGTAATTATAAATTGTAGTTCACTACAATAGTTTATTATCTATGGTCTTCTAATGTTTAGTAAATAATTCATTAATAGATCTCATTGAAGTAATTGATATAATAGATCGCGCATAGATTGTTGTATACTTGTATATAAAAATATATATAAAATGCAGGCGTTACAGTATTACAAAAGGAAAAACCATTTTGATGAACTTAATTTCAACCGATTATTTTTAAATAAAGTTTTTTGAAATTCTCACATCGTCGTGTATTATGCTTCTTGTACAATAAATTTACGAAGAGAGGTTTTAAAATATTACCATACCATTTTGAATTTTGATGACTAAAAAAAATTAATTATATAATATTTAAAAAACACTTTTGGTAAGATAGAATGTACAAGAAGCGTAAAACAGGTATTTCTTTATATTATATAACACCATTTAAAAACAAAATGCTCCATGATACACTGTAATTAGACTGCGGTCGAGACTCGAGACCATTTTTTGATTAAAACAATTGGAACTTCCTCCTTAAACCTCATTTTAAAAATAAATTGAATGTTATCATCAAAGCGCATGTCTCGTCTGGACCTCAGAAATATATTACCTCAATTACATTTTATAGCAGGTATTTTTTCACTAGAACCAACATTTAGTGAGTTCTACTGAGACTGCGTATACATAGACACAACTAGAGGCCAAACACATAGGAGATGCTAAAATTATGTAGAAAACATAGGCTCGGGGGGCTACGCCCCCACACCCCCAAATACCATACTTCCATATTATAATTTCTATAACCATTCCTAAATGCACCATAAATACATAAGGACACTAATATTTAAGTAAATCAACAGTAATATACGATATACCTGATAAATACATAAGGTATATTATATTATTTCGGTGATAAAAATAGTAACCTGGAAGTATAAACGGATAAAATAAAAATTTGGTCAACTGGGTACCACTTTGCTGTACAATATTTGTTGAGCATGTCGTTGTAATGGATGTGTTATATTTGAATTAAATTTGAAACATTTTCTCATGGCTATAAATTGTTCATAGAGTCAAAATTGTTTGAAGAATTTACGATGTCTTGGAATTTACGAGAAAATGCTAATATAAAGATTTTGTAAACATTTCAAGAATCTACGGTTATATTAATTTTGGAAATACAACAAAATCTAAAAAATCGATTAATGGGGGAATTCGATTTACCGTTGAATATCGAATATCGTAACAATTATAAGTTCAAACACTCAGAAAAAATTAATGACCGGTTTAAGTGTAAGTTTTTTTTTATAGGTAGAAAAACTTATGTGAAATCTTTTATTAAAATTTTAGATTCTGAGTGAAACGATGAATGTATTGATTTTACAATGATGTGTGTTTTTTTTTTTATTTTTTTTGTATCTGTGTACACGATAAGTAGTCGAAATAATGCTTCGATTTTCGACTTCAGTATCTTGTTCGATTGGAAAGTGAATATCGTTGGTGCATTGGGGAGGTCAAAATTTAAAATTCCCAGTACTTTTCAAAAGCGCCAAGAAAAACAAAAGAAAAATTAAGGAAAAACGGGAATTTTTACGCAAAATCGATTTTTCAGAAAATTGAATTTGGTTTTTGGTGTAACTTTAAAACAAATGACCGTAGGTACATGCAATTTTCACTGGTTGTTTATATTTGCATCTTCTATACACGATAACATTTTCAAAATATTTTGATTTATTTTGAACAGTTTAGGGACATTTTCATTTTTCATTTTTTTTTAGTTTTTTTTCTAGAAATATCAATAAAATTTTATTTGTTGGTTGCGAAAGCTTGAAAATTTACTAGAAGGCTCCTAATATATTGTTTGAAAGGCAGATGAAAAATATTAAAAATACTCAGTCACAATTTTTTTTTATAAGCATTTAAAGTTCAAAAATTGACAAAATATGGAAAAATCACGAAAATTAGCAAATTATTTTTAGTTAAGAATTCGTAAAAATTTTTCCTTTTAAATCTAAGATTTGAAAATGTAATACAAGATTACTCATAAGTTTGTCTACCTGTATCAATAAAAAAAATCTCTACCGGACAGTTAAATTAAATTTTTATGAGCGTTTGAAATTCAAATTTTTACAACATTGGTTATTCACTCGATTTCTCATGTAGCGATTTCCTTATTTTGTTGTAATTCAAAAACGAATAACTGTAGATACATGAAAATTTCACTGAATGTTTATATTAGCATTTCCTATACACCATACGATTTTGAAAATATTTTGACTCTTTTTGAACTGTTTACGGACATTTTCATTTTTCAATTTTTTTAGTTTTTTTTTCTATGAATATCAATAAAGTTTTATCTGTTGGGCCAAAAAGTGTAAAAATTTAATACAAGGCTCCTGACATATTGTTACAATATCAGTTGAAAAATATTAAAAATACATAGGCACAATTTTTTTTTATAAGCATTTAAACATCGAATTTTGACAGAATTTTTCAAAATCTCGAAAATTATTAATCATCGTAATTAATAAATTATAAAATGTTCAGTTTTTATAGCTAAGGATTGAAAATTTAAAACAAGATTCCACGTAAGTAGTTAATTCTCTTACCGAAAAATCTAAAAAATATACAATCACAGTTTATTTTTATAGTCATTTTATGTTCAAATTTGGACGAAATTACATATTAAAAAACCTAGTTATTTTGTTGTGATTATATAATATTATTCGTGGGTACCTACTTGAAACTTCTAAAGTGTACTATTATATATCTATGATAGTATCAGGGTTTGTTATTGATGTTGATGTATAACGTGTTATAAGTACCTAATGGATATTGTGATAATGTGATATGATTAATTTGGAATTTATTATAGGTCAATTTTTTTTTTAATACCATAGATATGTATATAATTTGTCTTAAACCTAGACTGACATACCGTCTTCGCTCAGAATCGTTTTTCTTATACAATGATATTGTATCATTGAATTCAAATTTAAAAGCATCCATTATACAGTGACCCACTTGTAACCTACTGTACAGCAGAGCGACATTAAATCAATTAAAAATGTCTCATAGTTATAAAGAGCTCAAAAAGAGTCAAAATCTTTTTAACATTTTCCCATGCAAGCCACATAAAATTTTAATTTTAACATTTGGTAAAAATTTCAAGTATCTAGGATTATTTGTTTTTAAATTACAACAAAATATCAAAAATTGATAGATGAAAATTTACTGTAAAAATTGAAAATTCAATGTTGTACAGTGCAGTGGCGTACTAACGGGGGGGGGGTTTTGGGGATAAAACCCCCCCCCGAAATTAATGGATGATTTAATTTATTATGAGAAAACTAAAATTTCTAGTACCTGTATATTAATTGTACTGTACTCTACTTTTCTCAAATACTGAGTTCTGAATTATAAATATTATTAATAGTACAGCTTGTCAGCTTACATTATCTAATGTGGGTACCTACGGGAATATGAGTATTTCCACGAAGATATTGACATATTGTAGATATGGACGTGGACGATCGGTGTAATTATCTTTTATCGTCGTCGTAAAACGTATTTTATTTTGTGCGATTAATCACCTAGTGTGTTAGGCTGTTAGCCACTTTAATCTATAATCGACAATCGTTAACGTCGTTTTCATGTATTACCGAGACAGTGCCTACATGTTATTTTATCAACCATTGAACTATATTAAACTTATAGTGACAAACAAAACTACAGTTGCATACGAAGTACGAACTATTGTATATATTTGTATAAAAGTTTAAGTATATTTTATTAAAAGGTTTAAGTATATTAAAATTTAACAATGGATAAGTGGATAGTAAAAAAACCTAAACTTGATATAGTGAATAGAGACCAGCATGATCGTGATCATAATAACGAAATAAATGAAATTAGTTCAGGTAAGGCTATTGTTATTATAATTATTATTAATACCTACTCAGGGGCGTCATTTCAACTTTTTGAAAGGTATACTAACATCAGAGCAGGCCAAAAAAAATTTTCAGCAGGCCAATATATATTATTATATACACTATAATTATTAGAAAAAAAAATTTTTTCTCGCTCCGCTCGAAAGTTTTATTTTTCAACAATCAAATAATTTCATATAATACCAATATTCTACACCCAATACTACATAATTAAAACGTACATTATTTTATTTTGAATATCATAATTTCATATTTATAAACACTAAGAAAAACAAAACAAATTCTGAAATCTTTAATCACACATAAGTTATTTATCTACTATCTACTACGGCGTATGGTCTTATAGGGGCATATAGCATACATTTTCAGAAAAAAATAGAAAATTAATGTTCTACAAAACATAAGTATCTAAATTATTTTTTATTATATAATTTAACATTTTTTTTTTTTATATACATATGGTTAAGTAGTAATTACATATTTATTAATTATCACATGTCAATGAAAAATAATATCACGAATAAAAATTAGTAATCTATTAAAATGTACGATATGTTTTGTTATGTTCAGGTGTCACGTCATCTAATATGTTAATTAAAAAAATTAAAACCCCCCCCAAAGTTCAGGTCTAAGTACGCCACTGGTACAGTGTACACCATTCAAATCCAAATGCTCATAAAAAGTGTACCTATGTTACTTTCCAGTAAACTTTTTTTTTGTTTAAGGTAGGACAAATTGTGAGGAGTATTTTATCAAAATGTATAATGTTAGGTATGAAAGGAAAAACTTTTATACATTTCTAACTAACGGAAAATTTTTCGAAATTTTGATGAATTCTAAATTCTAATATTTGATATACCTATAATCATTACAAACAATAATTTGTGTTTCTGCTAAAAACGAAGAAACAAAAAAAAACCTTATGTGAAGCTAAAAAAAAAATTTTCATATGATTTTTCAATTTTTGGTGTTTTTGAATTGGGGGTGCTAAATTGAAGCATCCCCAAGGACCCCCCCTAGTTGCGCCTATGACTGCGTAAACACGTTTTGTCGATGTCGTACGTGTGTAAGACGGAGAAAACACATGCGGGTGTGACGTCCAGTAGGTACTCCAGTGGTGTATCCAGGGGGCGGTTAGGGGGTTGTAACAACTAACAAATTTGAACTACAAACGTTTATAAAAAATGGATGTGATTTTTTTGTTATAGGTAGAAAAACTTGTTGGAGGGATCTTGTAATAGGTACATTTTTAAATCTTAGATATAAAAAACAATTTTTTATGAATTTCTAACAAAAAGTATAAACATTTTTCAATTTTTGTGACTTAGGTATTAATTTTGTCAAAATTCTAACTTTAAACGCTAATGGGGGATAATAAATTAAGGGCACAATTAGGGGGCGCTTAGCCACACGTTTTTCCCATAGCCCCCCCACCACCAGTCTTTTAATCAAATTTTAGTTTAAAATATAATTATCAGGGTTTGTGAAGAAAAATTGTTAAATTGTTACAAAGTTTTTAAACTCTTTGGTGTCCTTTAGCCAGCAGGTACCATGGTAAAATTATATAATGTATTTGTGGTTTGTTGATAAGTGATAAGTTATAACTGATAAGGTGATTGAATCTTCGAAAATAAATGGAATGAATATTGAATACCTTGATCAATGATTTAGATTTTAGAATAAACGAATATACAAATAAACTGAATTGACGAATTAGTTTTTAGTGTCGTTTAAAATTTTAGCATCATGGATGGAATACTCAGAAATTTTTCTAAATTGCTTTCGGTGCAAAGCCCAATTCACCAGTTCAACAGGGTAAGATTTGTATATTTTATTTCATTCAATACATTTATTATATTATTGTGAAAAAACATTTATAAAGTTTGTTGTTCTACTAGTATACCCATGACATTTATGCATAATTAAATATTAATAAATATTGGTTATTGATGTTTTTACTAGACTTTAATCATACTTAAACGGCGCCATCCTGTTCAGTTACAAAAGAAGAATTCCAAACATAAGCCTATTTTGAAAGGAAGACATTTTGTCTATGATATCGTGGAAAATCCAGAAAGAATGAAACAAGAAAAAATTGATGTAATACTAACGCAATATGTTGAAGGTAAGCATGTATTAAGAGGAAGCGACCGCATGCGCTGTCTTCATCTTACAAAACGCACAACATAGCAAATTGTACGTTTTGAATATTTAATTTAACTCTGTTATGTTTAATTTTTGAGAAATTATTATCTAGTGAATGAAAAGTTTTATTTTTATTTTTGAATTTTAAAGTGAGTTATGAGTTATGAGCATTTTAAAATGTACAAATAATTTACAACTTTAAAGTATAAAAACGTAGGTAGGTCATCTACTAGATAATATTCTTAGTACTACATTTAGTAATAGTCAATTCACTCTAAAATAAAACATAACAGATTTAAATGAATTATTCAGATTATATAATTTGCTATGTCGGAGAGCTAGTATTATGATATAATGCAGTTAATTGAAATATTTTTATTTATTTAGGATTAGGGCATCAAGGTGAACTAGTAAGTGTTCGGCCAACATATGCATATGATCAATTGCTTCTGCCAAAATTAGCTATTTATGCTTCTCCTGATAATTTGGAAAGTATGAAAAATAATTTACACCAAACCAAAGATGAAGAAAAACCAAGTTCTATTCACGCTCTTCAAGTATTATTAATTTTATCCTATTTATTAATCCAAAAATAATTTAAAGAAAATAATATAATTTATATTTCTTAGACTGCAAAGTATTTAAAAAAAATGGTTGTTAGTGTAAGCATGAATAAAGACGAGCCTTGGACAATTGAACCTTGGCACATTAGAGTATCACTACGAAAAATGAATGTTCACGTATTAAGTGATGATTCAATAGAGCTGCCAGAACATCCAATTAGTGGACCTGATTTTACTTTAGAAGGAAAATCCTTTGTTGTGTATATTACTGTGAGTTATACTTAGTTTTCTATTGTATAAAAAATAAATTTTAAATCTTTTTTTTTGACAGATAAATAAGAAAGAAAAAGTCCCAGTGGAATGTAATCTTCATCATTGGAGTACTAAACTTGCTGATCGATTACCTCGAACAAAATTCTTTACTAGAACACCAATATCCATTCTTCCTGAGCAGACCGAACTTTTAATGTCAATGAGAGGAAATATAAATAATAATTAAATTTGTTTAGTTTCATTTGCTAGTAGTATCTAATGTATTTATTTTTAGATGAATAATGATTTTTAAGATTATTAATTATTGTGTCATTTTTTATTAATTCAAAATAGTCCATTCCATTCCATATCAACTTTTTTACCATACTGATGACATTGTTACTCTTTAAAAAAAAAAAAATTATGCAATGTCTTGCACATCATTTATTAAAATTGAAAATTAAAAACCTAATTATTTTATTACTCAATATTGGAATTAAATTAAACCAATTTATTTTATTACTCAATATTAATGATAAAATTATATTAATTTAAATATTAAGACGACGCCACACCCGCATGTGTTGTCTCCGTCTTACAAATGTACAACATAGCAAAAACTCTTTTGCGAGGGACAACTTTTCTCGCACCATATTTGTTGTAGAACTACCAAATTTTCACAGCACTTAAAGAAGAACTTTATCTGTGCAACAGAGTGCTCTTTTTTTCAATAACATATATACAATACAAGTTATTTGCTTCTAAACATTTGGTTTTTTAATTTGCTTATAAAAAATGATTGGATGGTGCTATTGAAAAAAAGAGCACGCTGTTGCACAGATAAAGTTCTTCTTTAAGTGCTGTGAAAATTTGGTAGTTCTACAACAAATATGGTGCGAGAAAAGTTGTCCCTCGCAAAAGAGTTTTTGCTATGTTGTACATTTGTAAGACGGAGACAACACATGCGGGTGTGGCGTCCTCTTAATCAATAAACAATTACTAGAAAGTATTAACATATAATTTTTTCAGCAACTTCCTAGTTGCCCGAACACTTGATTACTTAATATGTTAACAATGTGTTTAAGAAGAAACCTTTTTTTTTTTTTTTATTTAATAAAACATTAAAACTGACAAATGAATTATCATTGTGTACAGTATAATAATTTAATGAGTGCCAAAGCCTAATGATCATGGGAGATTCAAGTTGAACCAATACGGCTATTAGTGATTTATTTTAAGAATTATTGCTTAAGCCATAAAACTAATAATTATTTTCTAGTCTAATCGGAGCTATGAATTTGTAGAAAAATTCTTTACTTTTGTCTTATTTTAAAACATAGCTACAGTTAAGTGTTAACAGAAAGTTAGAATAATGTGTTTACCTACCAAACAATTCAATTTGGAAATTTTGATTTAGCCTTTTATTCAAGTTTTTTAATTGCTAGGTCCTTTAATCTTTGTAGGAAAATTTTTCATTTTCTTTATTTTTTTTTACTTGAGTATATTATTAAATTTTTAAAAAGTATATTAAAGTGTATGTAATATGTATGCAGTAAAAAACAATTTAAATTTAATATTTCATGTTATGTGGAACTACGTTGTTTTAGTCATGTCTTAGTCATGTTTTAGTAAACATGAAATAAGAAAAATAATATGAGTATATTACATTATTTTGTTGAATGTATTAATTAAAGTACATAGATACTATTTTTAATATTATTATATTCTGTGCTTTTGCTTCAACATTCAATTTGCTTTTTTATATGGTTGGAAATAAATTCTCATAGATCACGCCAGCTCCGAATAAAGTAAAGTCGTAACAATCACTGACCGTGCCCCGCATACCCTCTCAAAATCGGTGTCCAATCCTGTAAATCTTAGTTCATGCTCCTGATTCCTAAACAAAGTCATAAACTCATAAGCATGATTAATAGAATGTCTCTAATCTTCATGCTCATAAGTCATAAACTCATAACCATTGATTGTATAATATAGATAGAATAAGAAGTATGCTCGACGATAAGACTACTCATATTTTTTTAAGGGGCGACGTATAATTTATAATATACGCAACCAACAATAAAAACTATAGGCGATGTCACGCGTATGCATTTTAACATTTATTCTTATGCCAATGCAGTATGGACAATTAGCACAAAAACACAACTACACAAGGCGACGCTCATCATGCGTGAACTGCATAGGACCAGGAATTAAAATATACAGGATACGGAACCGAAATGTCTTATCAATGTTTTTCCGAGTCCGCCCGCTTCCCACTCTGTTATGACAACAGCAGCAGCTATAGACCTATAAACTAATGAGTTTATGACATCTAGCGTTTTATATTATTGTCCGTGTTATACGGGAGAGTAATGAAGTCGATTCCTATGAAGCTCTAGTTGTCTTGCCAAACACTTCTAAAGGCGCCTTCACAGCTCACCGTGATAATATATAATTTGTTTTATAAATTGATATTAATATGTGTGTGTCTGTGTGTATGTAAGCTTTTGAAACTGCATTTAAAATAAATAACTGTTAATATAAAATTGATAGCATTACATTTGATAGTAATTTTTTTTAAAGGATGTGGTTTTTTCAAATTCGTAATCCATTGGGAAAACTTTGTAGTAATATTTATCTGTCTCTACTTTGTAATATTAATTAATTTAGTGTTTTATTTCTAGTCAAAAGGGAACAATAGTGAGTGATGTAGGAATGTGCCTGGGCCTCGTCTGAGCTTCTTTTCCATATTGTACTTCCTTGGAATGAATCACTTAAGTGTTGATTTTTTTTTTTTAAATTACACAATACTTAACATGTTATATGAAATAAACTTTCAAATAACATGGCATTCGTAATATTTAATAATTTAGTTATTTAAGATAATAAATATAAAATTATTGTAGGACAATTAGCTAGGGATAATGGATGAAACAAATTTAAAACAAGCGATTTGCTATTTGAAAATGAGTTGTTTATTAAAATATAATATACATTTTATTAGTAATTTAAGGTGAAATATTGATATAGTACCGACCGGACGACAAACATAATAATAATATTTCTTTATTACGGAAATAAATTCCAATTACAGTTTTTTTTTTTTTCATATAATATATTGTACACGTACATTAACAGTAAAATGAGTTATATATATTGTATAACAATAATTTTAATAACAATGATAATAATAAAAATAACTTAAAATTTAAAGAGCAAATATGTATTAATATCATACAATAAATATTTAAATATTTAAATTTCTATAATAAAAAATACAATGAAATAAAAACGAGATATTAATTTTATTTCTAGTACCTAATTTGTTATGTATTTCTTAGAACATTTGACATATAAGTATTTAGAGAATTACCAAAAAAATCAATATTTTTTATAGTTGCCTGTGGACATTAAAATATTTGATGGAGAATTTCACATATAGTTTGTAGCTGAATGTTTTATGTAGAATAAATTTACAGATCGGTGGTTTATTGAATTTATTTTAAAATTTATATTTTGTAGTAATTCCAGACATCAATCATTTTGCTGGCACCATTTATACATATTATTTAAATCTAATTGTAGTTCAATAGCGTCTTTTGTGCAACTAATATTTTTGAATATTTTTGCATCATCAGCTAGTAATAATATTTTAGAATGAGAGATTACATCTGATATATCATTTATAAAAAGGCAAAATAATATTGGGGATAAATGGTCTCCTTGGGGGACACCGGAAGTAACGAGAATTTGTTCAGAGACATCATTTTTATATTTTACAATTTGGGTGCGTCCAGAGATGAAAGAATAAAACCAAGAAAGAAGTGGTTCAGTGAATCCATACGTTTTCAATTTATTTATTAATAATTTATGATTAACCCTATCGAAGGCTTTTTCCATATCGGTATATATGACATCAGTTTGTGATTGCATTTCAAAAGAATCCAAAACATAACAAGTACAATACTTACTGATCCTATTAAAAAACAAAACAATCATATAAATAAATTTACAAGATTGAAATAAAATTATAAAATATATTTACTTGTGGATATGGTCCGATTTATATAATATTATATTTATTTTTGTACGTATCCATCATTGCGGTGTCCAGCCCTTCTCAAAAATCCTGTGAGGTCTTCATCTCTGTTGAGTTGTTGCACATAACCTGCTAAGACAGTGGTAGTGTTCTCTTGTTCCCTCCATGATTCTCGATCTCTAATCTGAAATGTAATTATTATATATAATTAAGTTTAATTGTTGAAAAAATAACATATCTGTAACCAGCCCAAAAACCAATTTATGTTCAAATAAAAATTAATAATCACCCTTAGGTTTCTTCTGGCTTGATCAAATTCAACGAAATACTGATTTTTTCAAGGACAGTCAGTTTTTCTGTAAGCAAATTAATTGATCAGTAAAAAATAGTACATTGTAATAGTTTATATTATAATATAAGTTACAGCAAGACACATACATACAATAAAAATACCATAACCATAAACAAAAATTAAAAAAATAACCTAAAAATTAAATTTTAAAACAACAGGTAATTTACTTACTTAGCTTACCATTAACTCCTTCTTGTTAGTTAGTTTACACATGACATAAATGAGATACACAAAAACACAAACATATAGGACAAGGACGCAACATGTACCAACACATCCTGTAAGCACTACTTCTTATGAGGTTAAACATGAAACATAAAATAATACATATTATAATAATGATACTGATAACAACAAATATTTAACACAAGGATGCAACATATAAAACACGATACACCTTGTACTGCAAAACCTCACGAATAAAATTCCATATATTGGGATGTCTTTGCATTTGGGTTAGAAGTGTAGCCTGGAAAGACTCCAAGTAGTTGTTGGTTCTATATTCTTCTCCAAAACAACTGATTAAACCTGGACCGACCTGTAACAACCATAAATATTGCACATACCCAATTAGAAAGTTTCTCATGCCTTGTTCAATTGGAGGAAATTGTCTTGTGTAGTCCATGATAGCATCGAAACCATCCTCCATGGAAAATGGACAGCGCGGGTCATTCCTGGTTGCGGGTAGGTGAGGTAATGCCAAAACCTAAAAACACAATGGTGTATTAAAGAGAAATACAATTGAATACAAATATTAAACTTAAATTTACCATTCTGAGAACTCGAGCAGCTACTGGGTTTGTACGGATTAAATTACAAACACTGTTCATCCTTCGGTGACAATACCGTACAA